GAACCCTCATCCCTCATAGCCCAGGGACGTGAAGAAACGGCTGGCCAGCCAGGGATTCCCTGTGCGGTTCAGACAGAGGCCCACGAAACCAGCTTTCGGGGGTTTACTTTCTCAGAGCTGGGAAGCATTTTACATTTTTCAGGGCACTTCACACTCAATAAGGGGTAGAAAGTTCGATTTTTAATACTATCCCTAAACCCTAAACCCTAAACCCTAAACCCTAAACCCTAAACCCTAAACCCTAAACCCTATGGGGTCTGGGGGTTTGTGGGCTTTTGGGGTTCGGGTTTGGGGGCGCCTTCGGGGTTAAGAGGTTGTAGCAGCTGTTGAGCTGGACTTTGGGCTCCGATGTTCTGACTTCTTTCAGGGTTTAGGGTTTAGGGTTTAGGGTTCAGGGTTTAGGGTTTAGGGTTTAGGGTTTCTTGCCAGGCTTCTGCCACTGAGTGGGGACGGCTTCTGTGATGCTGAGCCCATGGAAGATGACTCTCGGCCACCGAGCAGGCATGTATCTTCACCGTTCTTCACCAGAACCGTTTACCCTAAACCCTACAAAACCTAATTGAAGCCCCAAAACGAACAAAAAGGAGCAACAAGCCCTAATGGAAGCCCCAAAAACCAAAAGAAAAAAAAAACAGCACATTCCGGCGGAGTTCTCACATCTTCTGTGTCGACGGGCAGTTCAGGACTTCAAGCTTCGCTCGGCCGTGGATTTGCAGCTCGTGGTTCTCCCCTATGCCACTGCCACCCCCGATGAGCTCGAGCGCCTGCATAAGCTCATGTACAAATGGACCACGGAAGCTGAGGAGATACTCCAGAAGCTGGGTGGTGCTTTGGGGTTTGTTCCCCCTTCTTTCCTTATAAAGGGAGCCTGTTCATGATTTTTGAAAGGGTTCAAAGCTCAACTCAGGAAGCCCCTAGATCCGAGTGCCATTCATCTCCACACATCCGTATGGGCCAACGAGGCGGACATGGTGCGCTTGCTGCTGGAGGCAAGGGCGGACAAGGACCGCCAAACTTATGATGGCCAAAGTGCTCTTCATGTGGCGTCTCAGTCAGGCTTGGGGCTAGCAGTGGTGCCCTATTTCCCTTTTTTTGGGGCTCAAGGTTCCTTTGTAAAGCAACCCCTTATGTTAAGATTGTTACCGGGCTATCAAGCAGGTATTGTCCAGATGACTCGCCTGCTGTTGGAGGAAAGGGCTGATGTGAACTTGGCCGACGACGTCGGCAGGACGCCCCTTCATGTCGTGGGCCTGGGCGATTACAACCGAGGAAGAGGCTTTGCCTTTGACTTCGACCCGGTCGGCGTGGCAGGCCTGCTCATCGAAGCCAGAGCGAATATTGACTTGGCGAACGACGCGGGCGTGACCCCTCTTGGACTGGCCCTGGAGTTCAGGGATTTGGGCCTTATGCGATTACTTCTGCAGTGTGGGGCCAACAAGGATGTGCGAGACCACTGCGGCAGAACCTTGCTCCATGAGGCATCTTGGTCATAGTTGGGTAGCATTTTACATTGTTAAGGGTACTTAAACCCAATAAGGTACAAACATATAATATTTTTAATACTATCCCAACCATGACCTAGGCATGTCTTCTTGGCGACGTTGATGTTGCCAGCCTGCTGCTGGAGGTGGGCGTCGACAAGGGTGCTGCCGACGCGAATGGCAGGACTGCCCTTCACGATGCATGCCAGCCTATCCTGGCGTTTTGGTAGCCCAGTGGTACCCTTTACCCCCTTTTTTTTTTCTTATGGGTTCCCTTATAAAATAGCCAACCCCAAAAAGGGGAGCCCTTATTACAATATGATTACTGAGTTACTGGGCTACTAAGGAGTTGTTGCCAAAGGGGGGCTTCGGAAAAGGAAAGTGGCGCAAAGGAATGTGTGGCCGAGAGAAGCGGGCGGAGATCGTGCGCCTGTTGCTTGAGGAGCCGACACCCTCGCAGGAGACATGCCATAAAGCTTAAGGGAGTGGCAAGTTGGTGTACCTGCCGTATAAGTTTCGGGACCTGAACGTTGTATCCTTATGGCTGCCAGTGACCTAGCTATTCGGTGGCTCGGTCGCTGGGACCCTAAACTACACTCTAAAGAGGCTTAGAAGCTCCATGATCTAAAAACCCTAAACCCAAAACGGCCTAAGCCTTATACTTATACTCTCAAACCGCAAGACCCGAAGCCCCAGAAGGGCACTCTGCCCATGACAGTCCTAGAACCGACAACCTTATTACTATTGTTTAGGGTTTAGGACTACTATTGCTATTACGACTTTGAGTAGTATGTTTACTGTTCTTCCTACTGTTTTTAATGCTCTTATTGCTCTGATTGCTCTTACTGCTGTTGTTGCCATTGTTTGCTAGTTTGCGCTGTGCTTGCTATGTGATATCATAGCAGCTGTACCTACTACTAATGACCTTCTTACTCTCACTGTTGTTTGGCAAGGACACCGATTGCCATGGAAAGACTGCCCTGCACCTTGCAGCCGAATGCGGTTTGCCCGAGATCGCAAGCCTTTTGCTGCTGGGCGGCTGGAGGGGCTTAGGGGCTAGGGTTTAGTTAGGGTTGTTGAGTATCGGGATATAGGCGGATGCAGCGAGCTGTGATTGTTGCGGTTTTCAAGATAGCCTGGGTCCGAGCCTAAACCTTAAATCCCCTAAACCCCTGAACCCTAAACCCAGAACCAGGGCTTTTATTTTGCATTTAGGCCATTCGGCCTTAGAACCCAGAACCAGGCCTTTAATTTAGGGTTTGGAGACCATTCGGCCTTAGCTTTCTGGGCTCAGGAATTTCTACGGCGGGAGCTCATAGGTCATTTTGCCCGGAAAAAGATACTGAATTGGTGTCATTCCTGTGGCATTATCGTGCTTCTTTGGTTTATGAATATATATATATATATATACATATGTATATATATATATATATCTGTTGAGTCTTCTTGTATATGATAGTGATATTGCGGCTATGATTAGGACATGGTCATGGTTACCACCTTCATCATCATCATCTTCTTCTTCTTCTTCTTATTCTTCTTCTTCTTCATCGTCATCATCATCGCCACCACTGTGGTTCTGATTGTGAGCACGCCTATTGTTGCCCTGGCCATCGTCATTTGTGTTTCTTCGTTGTGGGCCATCGTCGTTTGTTGGAGAGCCTCACTGCTGCTCATACCCCACCATGCATTCTGCCACCGCTCTTGGGAAGATCCGACCTCCTTCGATGGAGGTCCGGCCCCCTCCCACGTAGTTTTGACTTCATGGGTGCCTGTACGCTTGGTTCTAGGTACCCCAAGAAAGGTTAGAACCACGGTTGCCCTACTGATCACCCTACTCATAAGTCCCCGAATGAACCTCCATGAGGTTGAGGAAACCCCGCAGGCTTTGATATCAAGCCCCCTCTCCAAGATGGCAAACTCCGAGAAACAGATGGCCCGAATTCTTATCGCCGTAGTTTGGCCTGCCACTCAGCCCTGGGCCTAAACCCTAAACCCTAAACCCCAAGCCCTAAAGCCAGATTGCAACCAAGGTCAGAGGCCGGTTTTGACCAGGACTTACCAGACAACCAGGGCCAGACCCCCCTGGACGCTTGGTAGGGTTCCAGGCATGTGTTTTTTCCCAACCCGAAACCCTAAACCCTAAACCCTCAACCCTAAACCCCAAACCCTAAACCCTAAACCCTAAACCCTAAACCCCAGGGATGTTCAGAGGCTTCAACGGGTCAGCCCAGGACTTAGCCCAGGCCGCGGCGCTGGACCCCGCGGCCGGGTGACCGCCGGCGCCAATGCTTCACTGAGGTTGTAGAAGCCCTCAGCTCCCTACACCCCCCCTTTAGAGGGTTTAGGGTTTAGGGTTTAGGGTTTAGGGTTTAGGGCTTAGGGTTTAGGGTTTAGGGTTTAGGGTTCAACCAAGAATCCTCCGTATAAGCGCTATATGGGGATTTTCATTTTGGGAACGACTGCGGCCCTGGAAAAGTCCTGGCTCCCACATAGCTCCAGGGTTTGGGGCTTTGGGGTCTTCGGGCTTTTGGGCTTAGGGCTTAATTCGGGTTGAGTCTAGGGTTTAGGGTATGATGAAGGCCCTCGGTCTAGGATGGGTTCGGGTGCGTAGTTTCCCACATACGAGGCCCTACAAGAGGCCTCTTTTGACAAGCTGCGTTGTTGAGAAGAGGGTCGATGATGTACCCATTTGGTAGGAAGAGCTGCCTAAGCTCCATGCAACCCCTGAACCTCGAGTCACTAACCCCAGCCCGCGTCAACCCAAACCCCAAACCCCAAACCCCAAACCTCAAACCCCAAGCTCCAACCCTAAACCCTAAAACCCCATCCCACCCAAACCCTAAACCTTGAACCCCAAACCCAAAGCCCCAAACCCTAGACCCCAAACCCTAAACCCTAAACCCTCAACCCCAAACCGTATTGTAGAACCCCAAGCCCTAGACGCCAAACCCTAAACCCTAAACCCTAAACCCTAAACCCTAAACCCTAAACCTTAAACCCTAAACCCTAAACCCTAAACCCTAAACCCTAAACCCTGCTTTGCCGAGTGTGGCGGGGCGGTGGCTGCAAGCAGCTCAGCTCTTTCAGGCCAGGGCCCCCTCATTCTTTTGTCGCCCTGAGCCCCTAACCTTGTTTGGGGTTTAGTGGGTGTATGACGGTGTATGAGTCTTTTTTAGGGTTTAGGGTTGGGGGAAGGGTGGGCCCAAAGCCGGAAAAAATCGCCAACTAACCCTAAACCCGAAACCGCAGCTCTGTTTAGGGGTCTTGAAGGTATCGCTCTTTGTTGAGAGCAAGCAGTCCTTCAGCGCTCCCACATGAAGGATGGTGTCGTGCATAATGTCTAGAGTGGCTCCAGCTGACCTGTCTCATCATATACAAAGCAAATAGGCAAACAAAGAAAAATTATATATATATATATACATATATATATATGTATATGAAGAAGCTTACATACATACACAGACACACACGCATATGTATATGCATTGGTGTAATTCCCAAATTCGCTTTCCCGGCATGTTCCGGCCTGCTTGTCTTGCAGACGTGCACTGGGCATCTCTCTGCGCGGGCGCGGCCTTGTCCGCCGCAACGTGCCTCGCCCTAGCCCTGCGACGAAGTCCCCCGTGGCTCTTGCAGTGGCTCATGGCGCCTGAGGTGCGCCGTTCCGCCTGGGATGCTCTTAAGCAGGGACATGAGCATGCGGCACGCCCAAGGAGGAGGGCCGCAAGGCTGTATCTCATCAGGCATGGACAAAGTGAGGCCAACCAACAGGCCGACAGAGTAGGCGGGCGCGATGAGAAGACCCCGCTCACCACCCTGGGCGAAAGGCAGGCACGAAAGTTGGGTGAGCGTTTCAAAGGTGAGGGCATCAGCTTCGACTGTGTGTTCGCCTCCCACGCAGTTCGGGCGTTTCGCACAGCTCAGCTGGCTTGTGAGGTTCTTGGATTTTTGGGCCGAATCGAGGTGGAGAGGCGAGTTGTTGAGTTCTCACAGGGTGCTCTTGAGCAGCAGCCTCGTCAAGAAGTCTATCGGGAAGGTGGGCCCATCAGACAGCGTATCCGTGCACAAGGCAACCTCTTCTTTCGTCCACCAGGCTATTCTCCAGACGGTACACGTGGAGAGTCTGCCTGGGACACCGAACTTCGCTTTTCGGAGTTTGTGGATGGGTTGCTGATGGCTGGGGAGTCCAAAAAACCCGAGCAGCGCGAGCTTGTTGTGGGAGTCTTCGCCCATGGCATGGCCATCAAATCCTTCGTCCGCGGTGCTTTTTCAGCCGCGCCCAGCTTCTTGGTAAATGCTCAGGTGGACAACACATCCATCACCGAGATGGTGTACAAGCCACGACAAGATGAGCTTGGAGGCTGGTCCTTGGTGCGGTTCAATGATGCTTCTCACCTGAGGCATCTTCAATGCGGGTGAGCCATGACAACGGAGTCTGATCATCACCTGCAGGGCTGGTGGCGGGGGTCTTGCTCGTCTAGGGGGGGGGCGCCCTCCGCAGTCTGGAGTAGACGCAGTTTGCTTCGAAGATGGGCGGACGACTGAGACATGAAGCCGGGTGCTACTCAGGGTGCTTAAAATCCTACCTGCAACTTCCAGGCCCCGACTGGACATCAAAGACCCCTCAGCTATGGGCTCCTGTCAACCCGGTAACCCCTTGAAGTCTTGTTTTTGGGGGGTCGCCATGAAGCATTCCTTTGCCAGCAAAGAATACTTACCTCCTCAGACTCTCAATAAAGAGGGCCTCTACAATGTTCCGAGGAAATGGTGGCTTAGGACGTCGCGTCCCTAAACCCTAAACCCTAAACCCCAAACCCCAAACCTTAAACCCTAAACCCATCGTGTGGATTTTTCAGCAATGCAGTACTCGTAGCACCGCATGTCTGAACGTCCAGATGCGCAGGAGACTTTGGCAGTCTTCTGCGCGCATCCTACAGTCGTAAGATGTGCCTACACTTGTTTAGGGTTTAGGGTTTAGGGTTTAGGGATTAGGGTTTAGGGTTTAGGGATTAGGGTTTAGTGTTTAGGGTTTAGGGTTTAGGGCTCTCAGAAGCCCAATGTAGTTGTCACACAGCATAAGCTGCGCGTTCTAGGGCCCCTGCGCGGAGGAATTTCTGAATAGAAACTTCGCCACAAAATAGAGGGGTACCCTATTTTCAGTGCATACCTCAAAAGCATATTCCTCTCCTCAGCAGCCTACATGCGATAACCTAAACCCTCCTTGGGAAGCCCCCAAATTTACATTCCAAGCCCTAAGCCCCTAAGCCTGAAACCCTAACCCACACCCTGCACTAAACCCTAAACCCCAAACCCCTCAGCCCTCCCTACACCCTAGATCATGCCTCATCCCTAAACCCTAAACCCTAAACCCTAAACCCTAAACCCTAAACCCTGGCAATGAGACCAGGAGCTGGAGACGAACCCAGGCCAGAGTTGAGTATTGTGTCACATGTTCTGGCGCGCCATCACCTTCAAGACGGTTTTTGAGGCTTGAAGGGTTCAGGGGGTGATGGTTTCGGGTTGAGGGTTTCGGGTTTAGGGTTTAGGGTTGCAGTCTAGGGTTCAGGGTTCAGAGTATAGGTTCAGGTTTTGGAGTACAAGTGCGTCAGGTCTCGTCTGGACACAGCCCGGAAGGCGTAATGTAGAAGCAAGCTTGAGAGCAACGCCCGGGCGCTAAACCTTGAGCCTACGTATAGCTTCGTAATCACGCACTATGACTGGGTATTGCTTTAAATTTCCCTTCTTTCCCTTTTTAAGGGAACCTATTCATACATAATTTTCCAAGGGCTTTAAAGCAACACCCGGTTAAACTCTAGACTCTAAACCCTGCAGTCTCTTCCTAAGCCCTATACCCTGGAACCCTCGAAACCCTCGGAACTTCCAGAGCCCTGGAGCCCCAAACTCGCTCAGCTTGGGAGGCTCCCCCTTCTACGAACAGTCCTTGATAGGGATTTTCAAAAGGGGGGTACTAGAATCCCAATTAAGGACTGTTAGTAACTGAGTGACCCTAAACCCTAAACCCGAAACCCGAAACCCGAAACCCTAAACCCTAAACCCTAAACCCCAAACCCCAAACCCTAAACCCTAAACCCTAAACCCCAAACCCCAAACCCCAAACCCCAAAACCGGAACATCCCAGCCCTAAGCCATCAAAGTCGACCGCAACAGGCCTCAGGCCCAACCTCCGAAGCTTCAACACGTGGCTTGGACTGCTCTCTGGTTTAGGGTTTAGGGTTTAGGGTTTAGGGTTTAGGGTTTAGGGTTTAGGGTTTAGGGTTTAGGGTTTAGGGTCTGGGCCGCTTTTTGCTCTTCCTTTGCAGGGCTTGGGGGGGGGGGGGGTTCATAGGGTTCACTGTGGTTTTTGGAGAAGTTGCCCTAAACCCAAAGCCCTAAGCCCCTTTGTCGTGGCTTCGTGTCGTGTCTTCTTGCGGCGTCTTCGCGCCGTGCTTGCGTGTCGTGTCTTTGGGTCGTGCCGCAGCGTGTGGCCTGTGTCTGCATAAGGGTTCGTGGCGCCCAATCCCTCAAACCCTCTAAACCCTCAAACCCTATGAGCTCTAAAACGCTATAAACCCTGAAGCCTTGAAACCCTCAACCCTGAACCCTACTCCTAAACCCGGAAACCCTGAAACCTGAACGGGGGGCTCTCAGGGTCTGCCGCTTGCCGGATGTCTGCAGGCTTCTGGCCGTGTACGAAAAGACTGGCGTGCGGAGCCGAGATTCGTTGTTGAGGTTTTGGGTTTAGGGCTGAGGGTTTAGGGTTTAGGGTTTGGGGTTTGCGACGGTTGCAGGGTTTAGGGGCCAGGGTTCAGGGTTTACAGTTTAGGGTCAGATACTCCCAGAGACGAAATCAAGCCGGAGTGGGGTCCTGCGCCCTGCCCCCACACTGATTTCACGGAAATCCAACCCTACACCCTAAACCCCAAAAACCCTAAAAACTCTAAACACCCTAAACACCCTAAATACCCTAAAGACCCCACGGATATCCAAGCCTAAACCCTAAACCCTAAAAACCCTAAACACCCTAAACACCCTAAACACCCTAAAAACCCTAAACGCCCCTATAAACCCTATAAACCCTAAAAACCCTAAAAAACCCTAAACCCAAACGCATGCACGCACGCAGCTCTGAGCCTCAGCCTGGCGTCCCTAGACTGCAGCGAGAAGCAGCCTAAGGAGCTTCCATTTTGCTCGGGCGGTTTAGAGGATTTAGGGTTTAGGGTTTAGGGCTTAGGGCTTAGGGCTTTCTTATCTCCGCCATGGCTGCGGCAGCAGCCGTGGCACCGCCGACTCACGTGGTGCACCATGACGCCAGCCGAGCGGGCGTCTCGACCACTGCCTTGGGCGTCTGCGCGGCGCGTGCCTGGGAGTCAAGCAAGCCCGAGGAGCAGCGGCTCTTCCACGACCCCTTCGCCGCCATCATCTGCGGCAGCCTTGTAACATTTGTAGTAGAGTGGGGGCACGATGTTCCTTTTTTGGGGGGGGTATTCGAAGCCCAAACTAGACATCCCACAGGTGAAGCCTTCATTTTCCCTTAAGAATGCTGGTACAAAGGCAGTGACAACTTGGAGCTTCCACTCATGGATGAAGTGGGCCGAAGCAAAGACTTCTGGATGGACCCTTGGGGAAAAAATGAACCCTTTAAAATTGGGGTCCTATACCCTGTACTACTACAATTCCTATTAAGGTATATGAACCATAAACCCTTTTTATTAAGGTATATGAACCATAAACCCTTTTAGGGTTCATTTCGTCCCCAAGGACTTCATTGCGGCCAGGACCCGCTGGATCGATGAGCAGGTGGCAGGTGCAGGGCAGCTGGTGATCCTGGGCGCGGGCCTGGATACTTGGTGTCGGTTAGTAGGGATTTTGGGGGAATGAGGTACCCGATATTTTCCCTCTGTATACCCTTTAAGGGATTGCATAGGGTACCTCATCCCCCCATTCCCTGCTTAACCAGCAGTAAGGATACCCGCGCCTATCGCCTGGAGTCCTTGAAGGGGATCCCAGTCTTCGAGGTGGACTTTCCAGAGGTGCTGACGGCGAAGGCCGTGAATTCTAGATCCCAAAGCCTACGGATCCCAATGCGTCATGAAGCGGTTGCTTCTCCACGGTACCCAACGCACTTTACATTTCTGATTTTGGAGGTTCAGGTAAGAAAAAGCCAAAGCCTTACATCCTATTGAGCTTAGCTGAAGACCAGGCGCAGCTTCTGTCTGGACACCAGCCACTCGCCAAGCTGACCAATGTCACCGCAAATCTCACCCTGCACCTTGGTGGTTTAGGGTTTAGGGTTTAGGGTTTAGGGTTTAGGGTTTAGGGTTTAGGGTTTAGGGTTTAGGGCTTGGGGTGATACGGTCAGTGCTCAGACTTGGCGCCGCGCTTGTGCATGTTCTGTCAGTCTGGGCATTCATCAACAACAATTCGCCATCTACACTTGTGCAATAGGAAACGCGAGGTACAGAGATGCCGATCATGTCCGAAAGTCCCCTAAACCCTAAACCCTAAACCCTAAACCCTAAACCCTAAACCCTAAACCCTAAACCCAGCAGATCCAGCCGAGGAACAGCTGGGACGCTGACTTGCACACTGCAGGGATGCAGCCGATACCAACCATGTGGCTGCTTGAGGGCACCTTCTTCCGCAAATTGCGATGTCTGTAAAGCTTTAGGGTTTAGGGTTTAGGGTTTGGGGTTCCCCGAAGTCTAGCATCGTTGCTTCAGGCACTGACGATTTGGGCTCAAAAGCGTTTAGGATTTCGGGTGTGCTTGGGGTTTCGGTTTCGGGGGGGTGGGTGGGAAGGGAACCGAGAACCGAATCCCTAAACCACAAACGCTAAACCCTGAACCCTAACCCTAAACCCTAAACCCTGAACCCTTTGTTGCTGCTTCAAGGTTCCCTTATAAAGTAACCAACCCAACAAAAGGGCGCGCCCGTTTTAGAAATATGGTTGCTGGGCTACCGAGTTCAGGGCCCCTCGAACGCCAGCCTTGCACCCTAAACCCTGAAGCACGGGACCCTAGAGGCCTAGGGCCTAGACCCTTACCCCTCAACCCTAAACCCTAAATCCTTCCTGCAGAGCTCAGAAAGGCCCTGAGGCCCAAGCCCTATATAGCCTCAAAGGTTGAAGAGCCCTACCTGGATACTTAAAGGATACTTCAGTATCTTTCTGGCTGTGCTTTCAAGATGCAAGCTTAGGGTGAATTCGCAGGTAGAGTTCATTATGGCATTTGGGACCCTTGGTATTTGGGACCTTAAACCCTCAACCCTAAACAATAAGCCCTGTGAGGGGCAAGACACCCTAAACCCTTAGCCCTAAACCCTAAGCCCTAAACCCTAAACCCTGAAACCCCCCCCCCACCCCCACCACCCCCCCGCCCTTTGAGTGCAGGCCTGACGGGCTACTTGACGGAGCCTGAACTCGAGGGACTTCTCAGCCAACTCTCCCGGCTAGTCCCTCCCTCCGAACTGTGCTATGCTTCGGGTTTAGGGTTGAGGGTTTAGGGTTTCGGGTTTAGGGCTTGCTCAGAGCTTAGGGCAAGGGGGGAAGGGTTTAGAGTGACAGGCTTTAGGTGTCTGGCCGGAGAAAACTCCACAATGTGCGCCTAAACCCTAAACCCTAAACCCTAAACCCTAAACCCTAATCCCTACGTTCCAGGGATGGGGTGGGGAAGTCTTGGTCCTAACTCCTGACATAATGAGCAGGTGGCATGAAGGCTTTGGGTGCGCAAGGCTTAGGGTGTATGGCTTTACCACGATTGCTTAAGAGCCCATTTGCTTAAGAACCCCAAATGATGAAGAATGATCGTTCCCATACTTCCCCTATAAGGAAGAATAGATGTTTTTTTTTTTTTTTGGGGGGGGGGGGGGCGAGTTCTGAAGCAAATGGTAGTTCAGCGAGAATCATCCTCTTGGACATTGCAGGTGACTGCAGGCGTGTATTTTGATGCGCAGAAGCAGTGGTACCTTGCTAGCGCCTCTGTTTCTGCAGTGCCATGTGCCAGGATGTTCCCCCTTATACAAGCAGTCCGGAAGAGGGATGATGGTTTAGGGTTTAGGGTTTAGGGTTTAGGGTTTAGGGTTTAGGTTTTAGGGTTTAGGGTTTAGGGTTTAGGGTTTAGGGTTTAGGGTTTAGGGTTACTTACCCCGACTACAATCCCGATCAAGGACTCTTAGGATGAGGGGCAGCATCCCAAACCAGCATTCCCAGAGTTTCTTTACTTGCTGTGGAGCCTTGGTGTTCGCGGCTTTCGATCCTGCACTTTCGTGCGGTGCCTCGTATAGCACCCTGGGACTCGTAACTTGGGATGTTACCCCCCCTATACGAACATGCGAACAATCCTTAATAGGGATTATAATTGGGGTACTACTGAACCCTAAGCCCTAAGCCCTAAACCCTAAACCCTAAACCCTAAATTGCCGGAACCAAAGGCGGACTCGCAGACCAAGATGACCGTCACCTTCGTGGGTAAGGGCATGGAGGAGTTCTTTGAGTCAAACTCCCTGAGCGCCCTAAACCTAAACCTTAAGGGTCCCTTTTTTTCCTGGGTTTAGGGTTTAGTGTTTTAGGGTTTAGGGTTTAGGGTCAGGGTTTAGGGGTTCGGGTTTAGGGGTAGGGAAGGACGGAATGGGGTACCCTTTGTTATCCATTCACGGGCATCAACGGGGGGGGATACGTACCTAATTCCCTTTCAGGAAGAGCCAGCAGGTCTGTGTTTGGGAACACTAAAAGTGAACGGACCCCAAACCCGAAACCCCAAACCCTACACCCTGAAAGTGCTCAGGGTCCCAAACCCTGAGCCCCAAAACCCTAAAACGCTCAGGGTCCCAAACCCTGAGCCCTAAACCCTAAACCATTTAGGGTCCGAAACCCTGAGCCCTAAACCTAAACCCTCAACTTTAAAAGACAAACTTTAAACCCCAAAGCCCTTTCCTGTCCAGGAGAATGTCACCTCTATGCATCGCTACCTCGTGACCGGCGCAGATGAGATTGCGGGGCTGCACCTCGAGCTCGTTTTTGATGAGGGTTGAGGGTTTAGAGGGATTTAGGGTTTAGGGTTTAGGGTTTAGGGTTTAGGGTTTAGGGAATCGCTGGATGGAAGTGAGGCTCGGGAAGTGCAGACTTACCAAAAGCCATAAGTAGCACTAAAGCTTTAGCACCAAGATCCTACCCCGTAACCCTAAACCCCAAACCCTAAACCCTAAACCCCAAACCCTAAACCCTAAACCCTAAAGCCTAAACCCCAAACCCTAGACCCTAACCCTAAACCCTAAACCCTAAACACCCGAATAAGCAAAAGCGCCTCGTGGGAACTGAGGCTTGGGGAGTTTGGCCCTAAACCCTAAACCCTAAACCCTAAACCCTAAACCCTAAACCCTAAACCCTAAACCCTAAACCCTAAACCCTAAACCCTAAACCCTAAACCGCCTCGTGGAACTGAGGCTCGGGAAGTTCGGCTGGCAGTGTGAGGTCCACTCCGTGGGAGAGATCGCTCGCCGCTATGGGCGAGGCAACCACTTGCCTCCGGACTTCGCGCGCCTTGTTTGGGGTTTAGGGTTTAGGGTTTAGGGTTTAGGGTTTAGGGTTTAGGGTTTAGGGCTTAGGGTTTAGGGTTTAGGGTTTATAGGGCTTAGGGTTTAGGGTTTAGGGTTTAGGGTTTAGGGTTTAGGGTTTAGGGTTTAGGGTTTACACCGAGAACTTGGAGGTTCATGGGTACTAATCTGTAGGGTTATAAGTACCCTGAATTAGGTTGTAACTCTAGTTACACTACTTGTGACTCTACTTATGTTGGGGTTTAGGGTTTAGGGTTTTAGGGTTTAGGGTTTTAGGGTTTAGGGCCTAAGGTCTAGGGCTTATGGAAACCTTTTGCAAGAGTACCCATGAACCTCCAAGTAGACCTACAGAAGGGGTAGTTTGCTCAAGGCTGCTGTCCCATCCCACCCCTATGTCGGCTTCAGCCGGGGTCCCAGAAAGCACAGAGACTACCCCGCCCCCCTTCTGAGAGAAGGTCTTTCCCGATCTGCATGACTGCTCGCCATGATGGGCAGCGGGTTTAGGGTTTAGGGCTTCACTGACTTACTGTATGTTGCTACAAAGAGGTACTGATTTCAACGCTTTACATTTGACCACCAACTGCCAATGCTGTGCATTCGAGCACAAACTGTTGGCAACACATCGGCCTCTTCCAATGCTTGACATTCGAGCACAAGCTGTGGTGGGCAGCAAATCGTTCTTCTTCCAATGCTTTACCATCGAGCACAAGCACTGGGCAGCACTTGCCGTTTCTTCCAATGCTTTACATTCTGCGAGCAGTGAATCGTACTCCCTCCAATGCTTCACACTCGCACAAACGGAGGGCCACGAATCGTACTTCTTCCAATGCTTTTTAAATCGAGCAACAAGTGTTGGCAACAAATGGTACTTCTTCCAATGCTTTGCGTTTGGCCACAAAGTGTGGGCAGCACATGGTGCTTCTGCCAACCTTTTACATTCTAGCGAGGGTTGTGAAGACCCTAAGCCCCCCCCCCCCCCCCCCAACCATGCCCAACAAAATGTTCGGTTTTCTGGCGGGTCCATGCGGCCGAGGTATTTTCTGGTCTCCGCCTGGCGAGCTGCTTGAGCTCTAGACTGCGGGTACGCGGATGAGCTCTTAACTTTGGAAGTACGGATATGTGGTGCTTGCGGATATTTGGTGCTCAGAACCTGGTGGCAGCTTCTTGTCCGAGTTCGATGCGAACACTTGCGTTATCCATCTTCTGCCTGGCGATTTCAACGCCTATCCAGCATCCAGATGCAAGTTTTCCGGCCCACTGGCTTTGTACAGAGGTCAGCACCTTCTTGCCAGTTCGGGTCGCGAGAAAACAAGGGTTTTGGGCACCCTCGTCAGGGGTTACTACAACAAGGGTGTAAACCCTGGGGTTTAGGGTTTAGGGTTTAAGGTTTAGAGGTTTATAGATTTAGGGGAAACCCTACACCCCACACCAACCCCGAAATCCGCGACTTGCCACTCCCAAAAAAAGCCCGAAGCCTCTGCTCCCACGCCCCTCAGCATCAGCTTCTCACCCTAAGAACCCCCAACAAACTCGACCCCAAACGCTAAGGCCCTGGAAGACGCCAAGGCCAATCCTGCCCACGAACTGCTTTGGATTTTGTGTCTTGGGTTCAGTTTTTAGGGTTTCGGGTTTAGAGTTTAGGTTTTAGGGTTAGGGTTTAGGGTTTAGGCTCTACCACGGACCCCGAAGGTTGTACCCTTGGGTTTGGGACCCTTTTGAAGGATCCCATAAGGTACGGGCCGCATTGAGACCCTGAACCCTGCACCCTAAACCCTGAACCCCAAACCCCAAACCCCAAACCCCAAACCCTAAACCCTAAACCCCAAACCCCAAACCCTAAACCCCAAACCCCAAACCCTAAACCCAAAACCCTATAAACCCTAAACCCCAAACCCCAAACCCTAAACCCCAAACCCTAAACCCTAAACCCCAAACCCTAAACCCTAAACCCCAAACCCTAAACCCTACACCCTAAGCCCTAAACTAACTGCGCTCTGGGCCAGGCGCTGGCGGCCAGGATGCTTGTGCAGAGGTTCTCCTTCGACCGGGCCAACTTCTCAGAGTTCTGTTCTTGGATTTTTAGGGGTTGGGAGGGATGAACTTAGGGTTTAGGGTTTAGGGTTTAGGGTTTAGGGTTCAGGGTTTAGGGTTTAGGGTTTAGGGTTTAGGGATGCGCTTAGGGTTGAAGGTTTAGGGTTTAGGTTTCTGATGATTGTTGGGCCGGGCGGGGGTTCCAGTTTTTCACCTAAACCCCAAACACCCAATCCGTGTGTGGATCCTCCACCCTGTACTTGGAGGTTCATGGGTACTCATAGGCAGGGTAACTATGGTTGTTTCGTCATCTAGGGTCCTGAAACTCTATCTATAAGGACCTTATGAACCTTCAAGTAGCCCTAAACCCTAAACCCAAAACCCCAAACCCTAAACCCCCAAAAAGGAGCCCAGGTGACCTACCACACCCTCATCTCCCTCTTCAGCAAAGCTGGCTGCCCCAAGGAAGCCTGTGAGGTGCGACCGGGATTTCGGGTTTCATGGATTTGGGGTTTAGGGTTTTAGGGTTTAGGGTTTAGGGTTTAGCGTTTAGGGTTTAGGGTTTAGGGCGTTTCAGGTATAGGGCTTCAGTGAAGGGATCAGGGTTTAGTGATACGCCATGTAAGACAGTCAGTTTTCGTGCAACTGATGGCATGGGTTTCAGAATACCGACCTTGTATGAGGTTTGGTATCATACTGTAAATGGCAAAATGCCGTATTCAATACAAATAACTCTGTGTGGGCAGATAAGTGTATACATATATGTATATGTTCTCACACTGTGCAATTCCGTGTTCGTATGCGATATGATTATGTTGATGCGCGGTCTACGTACGCATATATGTCTAATTTCTGCGCTCTTGTATACATGCACTGCATACTGGATTTGTTGTTTCTGTTTAAGCCTTACATGCATCTGTGAGCACGATGAATGTGCAATCTAAGGTGTATCCCTCACTCTGCACCCCAAAAGAGTTTAACGCTAAGGGCTTAGGGCTTAGGACAAACATTGACAGCCCCAGCCTCTACTTGCCAGCCATCAAGCTCATGTCCTCACTCCCCACAGGATTGGCTGCGGACACCTCATGTCCTCAGCCCAAAAGGGAACTGTTGGAATAGTTTGGACAACTATCGGCAAGAGTACTCCCCCTAAACCCTAAACCCTAAACCCTAAACCCTAAACCCTAAACCCTAAACCCTACGGCTAAATCCTCCCGCCCGGCAGATTCTGGAGTCCATGCGGGCTGCCAGCTTGCAGACTGGACTCCCCGGTGGCAAGCTCGGGGGGTTTGGAGGGTGTCGTGTTTAGGGTTTAGGGTTTAGGGTTTAGGGTTTAGGGTTTAGGGTTTAGGGTTTAGGGTTTAGGGTTTAGGGTTTAGGGTTTACGGTTTTGAGTTTAGGGTTTGGGGTTTAGGGTTTAGGGTTTAGGGTTTAGGGTGAGGAGCGCATTATGTTGGCGCTTGGGGTTGAGGGGGCTTTCGGCGGTTTAGGCGGGGGAGAGGGAGGTTAGGGGGGTTTGAGGGGGTTTAGGGTTTTGGCACGTAAGGTTAGGGTTTGGGATGTTTGAGGCATTGAGGACCACAGGAGCACATAAACAACCCAAATCCCTGTAAACACTAGAAGCCGCATTGGAACTGGAGGGCTCAGGTGTATTCTAGGACCGGGAGTAGGCCTTTATTTCCTTTTTTGAGGGTTGGGGTTCCCTTAGAATCCCTTAAACAATATACCCGTTTCATTCCTAGCTTACTTCCGGGTCTAGAAAATCTGTGCCGTAGCATGGAGAAACCCTAAACCCTAAACCCTAAACCCTAAACACTAAACCCTAAACCCAACGTTTGAAGAGGAGCGTCCAGGGCCCCATAGAACCGAATCACCTTCCAAATCCAACCCCCCCCCCCCGCCCCCCCCCAAAAAAAAAAAAAAAAACCGAAACCCTGAGCCCCAAACCCGAAATCTTAAACCCTAAACCCTAAACCCTAAACCCTAAACCCTAAACCCTAAACCCTAAACCCTAAACCCTAAACCCTAAACCCTAAACCCTAAACCCTAAACCCTAAACCCTAAACCCTAGCCCTAAACCCTAAACCCCTTGACCTTCCACAGGATATAATGCTGCCATCCGCTCCTTGTCATGTGACGATGCTGCTCCGCTCCCAGCTTGGCTTACCTTACTGCTGGTCAGTCAGGAATGATGGAAACCCTAAACCCTAAACCCTAAACCCTAAACCCTAAACCCTTACTAATCCCTTAAAGGGTATATATAGGGGGAGATAGGGTACCTGATTCCCTCATTCCCTAGTAACCAACAGTAAGTTACGACCCCACCTTGAACTCCAAGAGCTCCTGGCTGGACTTAGGGTTTAGGGTTTAGGGTTTAGGGTTTAGGGTTTAGGGTTTCGGGTTTAGGGTTTCGGGTTTAGGGTTTCGGTTTAGGGCTTGGGGCTTGGGGCCTAGGGCTTGGGGTTTAGGGCTTAGTTTTCATTTCTTGGTAGCCCAGTGGTACATGTTTTCCCTTTTTGGGGTTCAAGGCGCCCTTATAAAGTAGCCAACCTCAAAAGGGTGCCCTAGCTATGATATGGCTGCTGGGCTACCAAGATTTCGGGCTCAGGGTACTTCAGCATCTGCTTGAGCTTACCTGGTTCTGTTTTTTTGCAAGAGACCACCATATCTTATTTGGTCTAAAAAGAGTTCCGAGAACACTTATCTTAGGTGCCATGACTTGCTTGCCAGATTTCCGACCAAGCCAGCTAATGTCCCAGTTGCCGGCGAACCCTAAACCCTAAACCCTAAACCCTTAAGCCAAAAGTCCCAAACCCAAAAAGCCTTGAACCTTCATCCCAGAAACCCTCAGCCTCAGCCCGACCACGTCGCCTCTGGAACCGCAACATTCCTGAACATTGATTGAGCTAAACCCTAAACCCTGAACCCTAAACCCTAAACCCTGAACCCTAAACCCTACACCCTACACCCTAAACCCTGAACTCCCAACCTGGAGCCCTAAGAGATGGAGCCTCTCTGGCTCCCCCAGAAGGCGAGCACGCTCCCGAGCTGCTGGCAGAGAGCAGCGTATCTACTCAGGCGCCCGAAATCGCGTAGCTGTGTCCCCAAAAGGTTCCATGGACCTGTATAGTATATACTTGGCCCTGAAAAGGGTTCCAATATAGTAGGTGCCGGGCCCAAGTATAATGCTATAGAGGCACATGGAATTTTTAGGGTGTGCAGACGAAGATCGGGGGCGAGTTTTGTAGGGTTTAAGCCTTAACTGTGCTAGGCCTCAATGCATGGCATTTAGAATTCTGGGGGAACCGTAACCCTACCCAGAACCCCTAAACCCTAAGCCGTAACAAGCAAAGACTGCCCTTGCAGCTTACTCTCTTAGTAGATTAGGTAGGGTATAGATCCCTTGAAGACCAATATAGGGGGTGAACAAAAAGGTACCTAGCTCCTGGATTCCACGTGAAGAGCCTGTAAGGTAGCACTAAACCCTAAACAACTCAAAGCAACCGAAGCACCCTTCAAAGCACTAAACCACCTAAATCTCCTCAAAACCTTCCTTGAAGAAACCCTAAACCCTAAACCCTAAGCCCTAAACCCTAAACCCTAATCCTAAACCCTAAACCCTAAACCCTAAACCTACGAACTCCCCCGGGTCCCTCGCGCCCCACGCTGCGGACTTTGTGTTCAAGGCGCCACTTGCACTTGCTGAAGGCAAGTGTCCCACGCGGAAGCCGAGGTACCACACATGTGCAAAAGTTAGGGTTTTAGGGTTTAGGGTTTAGGGTTTAGGGTTTCTGGTTTAGGGTTTAGGGTTTAGGGTTTAGGGTTTAGGGTTTAGGGGGGTTTTCGAAATTGGGGGGTACCTTGTTGGGGTCCTTATTATAAGAGAATCCTACTATCTTGGGACTATATTAGGGGCCCCTCATGTTCGTAAATCCCCATACATATACACACACACGCACACACTCGTAGTTATTGACATATGTATAAGCTCCTGTTAGTATTGATCTACATGTACGTATGGATGTGTATGCATATATAGGCGAAAGCATCCTAAACTTTCTCGCCCACTTCAAGCACCCCCCCCCTCCCCTCCCCAGCTCAGCTGGGGCTTCAAGACCACTGAGACAGATAGCATGTGCCATATGTGCCCCGATGTCGCACCTGGACATCTCCACCCGGGGTGACCATGGTGCCCGATCTCCTGGGACGGCGTGCGCGGACGGTGGCCTTGTTGCTGAGCGTGGGCTTGTCGTGTCTAGGAATCCAGCGAATACGTCGGAGGGAAAGCAGGTATGTGACAGATCTCTCCCAGATTGTCATGGCCGGTGAAGACCCTCTTCGTGTGCAGCAACCAACGGCAGTGCCGGACCAGCACATGGAGCGCAAAGACTCTCTCCTGTTGCATGCTCCTTCGCTTGCCCAGGTGCAGGCAGCTGAGAGGCTTGAGGTGCAGGTCGTGCAAGAACATCAGGACTCGCAAGACCATGCTCGAAGTACATCTCTGCCCGACTTGAAAGAAGTTGCAGCTGAGACGCTTGAGGTGCAGGTCGTGCAAGGACCTCAAGACTCCCAAGACCAAGCTCGAAGTACTTCTCTGCCCGGCTTGAAAGAAGTTGCAGTAGATGGGGATGATGGGGAAAGCATCGCAGGTGTGGAGAAGATGGCTCCAAGTGTGTGTTTGGCGCTCATTGCCGCAACTACTGCAAGAACTACCAACACTGAGCTGCAGCTAAGGCTCGTCCACTTGAGCAAGCAGCATCGACACAGCAACTTCACTCAACGCTACGTGGTTCTGAATGGTCGGCAAGCTGACCCGTCCATGGTTGATATGGCACGGTTTCTGCAGCAGGAACACTATATAGATGAGTGGGTGATCTCGAACTACTCATCAGAATACATGGTCTCCGTCAACTCGACGGCCAACTGGGGCGGATCATTCAAAGTCTCAGGGCTGTCATCGAAATTCGGAAGCATTGCGCACGGGTCTTTGGATACGGATGCGCCAGACATTGAGCTGGAACGTTACTATGCCATCGACCAGTGCAACGCAGACTACATTGCATTGGTCAACTCCGACGCGGTCATGTTCAGTGAACCAGGGTACTCATGGATCGAACAAGGCATCAGGGCACTCCAGCTGAATGCTGACCTTACCTTGATCATCCCGCCCTTCCCGGGGATGTCAAAGCGCCGAGTCCGGTCGCGGCCCAGCACCCAACCGATCCTTAAGCCGAATCGCGGCCACTTTGCGGAGGGGGTCCAGCTCATCGACACGACCTGCGAGCACCCTTTCTCTTTGCCGGGCACGGCCGCCTTGCTGGATATTCAAAGGTACAAGCAGGTGGGACCTCGTAGTCAGATCATGGAGCATCGCTGCGCCGGCGTGCTCGTGCACAATAAGCCCTGTGGAGCCTTGCCGTACGTGCGGAAGTGTGGCGGCATCCGGACCTGGGAGGCGTCTTTGGAGTGTGTGATCTGCAACAGCCCGAAGTTGAGGCAGGCCCACTTAGCTGATGAGCAGCTGTGCTGGCTCTGGTACGCACCCCTAAGCAATCTGCGCTTTGACATGGGAGGGCTGCGTGACTTGGTATCCCGGTGGTAACTCTTTTGCCCTTCTTTTGGTTCAAGGTTCCCTTGTAAAGTCGCCAACCCAAAAGAAGGTGCCCTTATTGTAATACGGATGCTGGCCTGCCAAGGTGAGGAGATCAGGAAAGCTGAGTCTTAGCGCCAGGCCGTGCAATGTTTTGTATTGCTCTTGTCAACTGCAGCTGAGCGCAGACAGTAGGTTGCCTGACCACGCGCTGACTTCGGCCCCGCTTGTCGCCCCCAATCCCTAAACCAGCAGGAGCCTCCCAAAACCCTAAACCCTAAACCTAAACCCGAAACACCCTAAACCCAGACCCTGAACCCCCCAAACAAAATTCTTGAAGATGAGGAGCCCCGAATGCTCAGGCGTGGTAGAAGCATGTACCCAGGGTACGGGCTCGCCTCAGAGGTCTTAGGGTAGTTACATGGGGGCCCATACTTCAGAACCCTTGAAAGGAGGTAAGGGACCATATCAAGGGCCCATGAAACTACCCTTAGAAAGGGCTTGCTGTTCCATGTCAAAAAGGACGTGGGACCCAGTCTTCTGCATGGCCTGCGGGAGCCGGGAAGAGAGAGAGCAATCTGTGTCACATGTTCACTCGCGAATCTCCGACCCGCAGACCACGAAATGGGTTGCCTGGATGTTTCGGGTTTTGGGTTTTGGGGTTTTGGGGTTTTGGGATTTTGGGATTTTTGGGCGTAGGGCTTAGGGTTTAAACGGATTTGGGGTTAGACCCTCCCAAAAAAGGAAGACATCGCCGGCAAAGTTCTGCTGGGCACGTTATCTACCAGCAGCCGAATCTTCTCGGTTCTGAGTCGACAGCTGACTGTTTGCCTCAAACATGCCCTAAACCCTAAACCCTAAGCCCTAAGCCCGAAACCCTAAACCCTAAACCCTAAACCCTAAACCCTAAACCCTAAACCCTAAACCCTAAACCCTACACCCTACACCCTACACCCTAAACCCTAAGCCCTAACCCTGGGATTTGACATTCAGTGTTGTTCCTTTCGTCACGTGCAGCGCGCTTTGTAATGCCACTTGCCAGGATGCTGCTGTGCCTTTACACACATGTACTTTGAGGTTCATGTTACTTATCAACCAATTCTAACTGTACTTATAACCATATTAGGGCACTTAAGGGGCTTCTAAGTGGGTTATAGGCACAGTTCTGCTTGGTTAATACGTACCATGAACCTCCAAGTAGTGCATGTACCATGCCTCCCAAGTATCTTCGGGTTGAGGGCAAGCAGGCCTAAACCCTAAACCCTAAACCCTAAACCCTAAACCCTAAACCCTAAACCCTAAACCCTAAACCCTAAACCCTAAACCCTAAACCCTAAACCCTAAACCCTAAACCCTGCTCGCTGAAGCATATGCAGCAGCCGGGGAGTTCCCTGAAGTGAAGGGCTTTTAGGGTACCCGACTCCTCCCGAAGCCCTAAACCCTAAGCCCTACTTAGGGTTTAGGGTTTAGGGTTTAGGGTTTAGGGTTTAGGGTTTAGGGGTTTAGGGTTTAGGGGTTTAGGGGTTTAGGGGTTAGGGGTTTAAGGTTTAGGGTTTAAGGTTTAGGGTCCTAAACCCTCAACCCTTCAACCAGGCTGATGGCCAGCGACGCCGTGCAGCCCGACAAGGGCAGCTTCAACGCGCCTGGGGCCCCAGCTGGGCCGAACTTCAGGGTTTAGGGTTTAGGGTTTAGGGTTCAGGGTTTAGGGTTTAGGGTTAGGGTCCCTTAGTATGGTCACTTCCTTCTTGAAAGGGTTCTGAAATATGGACTCTTGGGTTCTATCGGGCACATAAGGGGTCACCTTTCAAGGCCCCATGCTAACCCGAAGATAAGCAGCATGAAAGCCTAGGAACCCTATAAACTCTATAAGCCCGAAAAACCCTAAACCCTAAAACCCTAAAACCCTAAAACCCTAAACCCTAAAACCCTAAAACCCTAAACCCTAAACCCTAAACCCTAAAACCCTACAACCCTAAAACCCTACAACCCTAAAACCCTAAAACCCTAAAACCCTAAACCCTAAAACCCTAAAACCCTAAAACCCTAAACCCTAAACCCTAAACCCTAAACCCTAAAACCCTACAACCCTAAAACCCTAAAACCCTAAAACCCTAAAACCCTAAAACCCTAAAACCCTAAAGCCCTAAACCCTAAAACCCTAAAACCCCAAAACCCTAAAACCCTAAAACCCTAAGACCCTAAGACCCTAAAACCCCAAAACCCTAAAACCCTAAAACCCTAAGACCCTAAGACCCTAAAACCCGAAAACCCTAAAACCCTAAAACCCTAAAACCCTAAAACCCTAAAACCCTAAAACCCTAAGACCCTAAGACCCTACAACCCTACAACCCTAAAACCCTAAAACCCTAAGACCCTAAACCCTAAACCCTAAAACCCTAAACCCTAAAACCCTAAACCCTAAACCCTAAAACCCTAAAACCCTAAAACCCTAAAACCCTAAAACCCTACAACCCTAAAACCCTAAAACCCTAAACCCTAAGCCCTAAGGCCTAAGCCCTGAAGGGAGCCCCTGGAGCCCGAGACCGCAACATCCCAGCTTGAAGATGGGCTGAGCTAATGTTTTGGGTTTAGGGTTTAGGGGGTAGGGTTTAGGGTTTAGGGTTTAGGGTTTAGGGTTTAGGGTTTAGGGTTTAGGGTTTAGGGTTTAGGGTTTAGGGTTTAGGGTTTAGGGTTACGGTTTAGGGTTTAGGGTTTAGGGTTTAGGGTTTAGGGTTTAGGGTTTAGGGTTTAGGGTTTAGGGTTTAGGGTTTAGGGTTTAGGGTTTAGGGTTTAGGGTTTAGGGTTTAGGGTTTAGGGTTTAGGGTGCATGGTTTAGGGGTGCATTCTTTATGGTCTATAGCCCCTCTCAACTTTGTGGGGGGGGGGGGGGGGGGGGGCGCTCGAGCCTTTGGGTAGGGTTTAGGGTTGTAGGGCTTAGGGGTTAGGGTTTAGGGTTCTAGGGACCTTCAGCAAGGTAGCAGGTATGGTTGCCCTACTTGTAGCCCTACTTCTCAGTATCCATGAACCTCCAAGTAGTGCGAGCTTACAAACCCTAAACCCTAAACCCTAAACCCCAAACCCTAAACCCCAAAGCCCAAACCTGAAAGATGGACAAAGTGCCGGACATCATTCGAGGAGAAAAGCTCTTTGGCCCAGAACATGCCCAACAGAAACATTAGCGAGGCCCTAAGCTTGACTTCCAGAGAATCTGATGCTTGGTGGCGCTTCCTAGTCCCAGTTTGTCGATGAGACAGGCCCTTAGGCCCTTGGGCCACTTAGGCACTTCAGCTTCATGCGATAGGTTGGAAGGGCAGTTACATCTAAACCCTAAACCCTAAACCCTAAACCCTAAACCCTAAACCCTAAAGGGACACCTTAAATACCCCTTATATGCCCTAGGCAGCCCCAGGGCCAATACATCAGACCCCTGTAAAGAGGGTAAGGGATGATATGAAGGTCCCCTGAAACTTCCCCTAAAGAAGTAGTGCGTTTATCATTGAAGAAATTTAGTACCAAGAAGGTCAAACCACAAATCTAAAGCCTAGACTCTATCGTCTGAAGGGTTAGGTTTAGGGTTTGGGGTTACAGGGTTTAGGCTAGAACCCCTACATGCCCTAGACCGCGTCCTGTCAAGTCGCCGAGAGGCTCCTCAGCGTGTATGGCAGCGCAAGCCACTCGGAGTTTGTAGGGTCATTAGAATTGGTTTGAGTAGAATGGTCCTTTTGGATGATGATGCGGGCAGAAGCTTGTCTGTGTCTTTGATGGCAAGTTTGATGTTTGGCCGTTTACGTGGGCATAAGGGTGTAGAGTTGTCTCAGGCCCCTAGACCCTGAACCCTAAACCCTAAACCCGGCTTGAAGGGGGCCGAAGATTTCAACCAAAACAAGAACACCAGGCCCTGAACCCGAGACTTCCTTTCCCCTAAGGGTTTAGGGATTAGGGGACTTCCTAAATGCTAACCCCTAAACCCTAATCCCTATTCCCTCCTGGGTTTCGGGATTAGAGTTTCGGGTTTAGGGTTTAGAGTTTAGGGTTTAGGGTTTAGGACCCTAGGCCACAACTCCTGAAATCCAAGCTGCCCCCTCAGAAACCTCCCCAGGCTGCCAAGTGGGCCTCAGCCCTCCAGACAGTTCAGGCCATGTGTCAGGCAGGAAGGTTTAGGGTATAGGGTTTAGGGTTTAGGGTTCAGGGTTCAGGGTTCAGGGTTAAGGTCTTTTCTGGGTTTAGGGTTTAGGGCTTAGGGCAGGGCTTAGACCCTTGAGCATCTTTCTCGGCTTTAGGGGCATTCAAATTCTCAGAGAGTGTTAGGTTCAAGAAAGCACATAGGGTTTAGGGTTTAGGGTGTAGGGTTTAGGGTTTAGGGTTTGGGGTTTAGGGTTTAGGGTTTAGGGTTCAAGTTGTAGGGTTTTCGGGTTTCGGATTTCGTCTAAGCCCGTTTCCGGTGGCCTTCTACGACCTTCGATTCCGTGGCGCCCTTATAACCCCCGTCTAAGGCACCCCGTCTAAGGCTTATAGAAGGTGGAAGAGCTCCTAAATCAATTAAGTGTTTTGAGGTTTGAGGGGTTTAGGGTTTTGAGGTCTTAGGGTTTAGGGTTTTGAGGTTAGCAGGGGCTTTGGAATTTCAGGCTGACGCTCTGACCTGCGCGTGTTTGGCATGGCCTATGCACATCTTCGTTTGTTCTCGCGCAGCCCCACTAGGATCCCGCGCTTGAGGACTGAAGAATGCTTCTAGGGCCACTCGCAGAAAGGCGAGTACTCTCTTCACGTAAGAGGCACACATAACACACGCACACACGCGCGCACGCCCTCTAAACCCTGACCCGGAAAACCCAAAGCCCTAAACTCTGAACCCTGAACCCTAACCCTAAACCCTACAACCCCAAACCCTACAACCCTACAACTCTAAATCGCGCAGGCGCCCTGGGTCTCGCCCGACGTGATCACCTGGAGCTCGGCAGTTGCCGCCTCGTCATGGTTCGAGCTTCTAGGGCGTACGGTTTAGGGTTTAGGGTTTAGGGTTTAGGGTTTAGACCGCAAATAATATCTACCATTTGCTTAAGAAGCCCCCAAAAACAATCCCTATATTGCCCTTAAGGAGGCGTATTGTTCTTTTTTTTTTTGGGATTCTTAAGCAAATAGTAGAGTAGACCCCAGCTAGTAGGGTTTAGGGTTAGGGTTTCGGGTCTAGGGTAGAAGGACCCCAATAAGGTACAGCAAATTTTCGGAAACCCCCATATGGAAATTCTCTCAGAATAGAGTCCCCCTAGTACACCCTCTAAAAAGGGTACTGTACTCCTTGGTAGAGGAACCCCCAAAAAGAGGGTACCCCCATTTTCGGAAGCCTTCATATTGAGGGTTTGGGCTTTGAGTTTAGGGTTGAAGGTTTAGGCGGTTTAGGGCTTCGAGTTTTCAACTCCCTTTCTTGGTTTAGGCTTTAGGTTCACGGGTACTTATGGGGGGTTTCCGGCATGAGAATCAGGGTTAGCGTGTTTTTGGAGTTCATGAAGCGGGCGGGGGGTCACCGATTCTGTTATCACCCCAAACCTTGAGCCAAAAACCCTTAAAAAAAAACCAAGCCCGAAACTCCAAACCCAAACCCTAAGCCCAAAACTTCCTTCTTAGCCTATAGTCATAGCTGAACCCAACTCCTGGTGTCTGTGTTGGTGTGAGGTGGATGCATGTCCCTAAACCCTAAACCCTAAACCCTAAACCCTAAACCCTAAACCCTAAACCCTAAACCCTAAACCCTTGGTGTGAGGTGGATGCATGTGGGCGGAGTTCTCGCTGGGAGGCCTCTTGTGGGTTCAGGCTTCTTGGGTCGGTGAGTAGGGTTTCGGGTTTAGGGTTTAGGGTATAGGGTTTAGGGTTTAGGGGTTCGGATTTAGGATTTAGGATTTTAGGGGTCTCGGGTTTAGGGGTTTAGGGGCTTCGGGTTTAGGTTTTAGGGCTTTAGGGCTTTAGGGGGTTTCGGGTTTAGGGTTTCCCTAAACCCTAAACCCTAAACCCTAAACCCTAAACCCTAAACCCCATCTTGGCTTCTGCCGTGCGAAGCCGCGCTGCCCACGGCAGGGCCCAGACCATGCCAAGTTCCTGTTGAAACCCCCTCCCCAGCCTCCGAACGCACATAGGGTTTAGGGTTTAGGGTTTAGGGTTTAGGGTTTAGGGTTTAGGGTTTAGGGTTTAGGGTTTAGGGTTTAGGGTTTAGGGTTTAGCATCTCAAGTTCGAGCATTTACTAGGCCAGCAGTGTGTGTAGGCAACGGAAAAAAACCCACCCACCCAGAGAATCCCAAAACATTAAGAAATAAAAATTTTGCAGGTTTAGGGTTTAGGGTTTAGGGTTTAGGGTTTAGGGTTTAGGGTTTAGGGTTTAGGGTTTAGGGTTTAGGGCTCGAGCTTCCACATCTCTTTTACATCCCTTCATCCTCCGGCATCCGCAGGTGTGGTCAGGACGGCTTGTTGACTTTCGAAAGGGTTTAGGGTTTAGGGTTTAGGGTTTAGGGTTGCTGTCGTGGGTGTGGGGGGGGGGGGGTGGTCTAGAAGGGAAACTCACTTTGCGTGTGTGAAGTGCCCGGAATGTTGGGAAAGGTCCCCCAGGTATTGCCAGCTCACTAAGCCTTTGAAATCCTCAATTTAGGGTTTAGGGGTTTTAGGGTCGAGGGCTTAGGGTTTAGGGTTTAGGGTTTAGGGCTAGGTTTAGGGTTTAGGGTTTAGGGTTTTAGGGTTTAGGGTTTAGGGTTTAAGGGTTTTAGGGTTTAGGGTTTAGGGTTTAGGGGTTAGGGTTTAGGGTTTAGGGCTAGGGTTTAGGGCTTGGGGTTTAGGGCCCTTCAGCCCTTACACGCAGCGTCACCATCAGCTTGAGGCGGCTTCTCAGCTTATGCGCAGCATGAGGCCTGCATGCTTCTTTGGGAGTTTACGAAAATTGGGGACCCAAAAATAGATAGCTAAATAGTACGGTTTAGGGTTTAGGGTTTGGGGTTTAGGGTTTTGGGGTTTAGGGTGCAGGGTTTAGGGTTTCGGGTTTAAGGTTTAGAGTTTAGGGTTTAGACCCCAACAGTCGAATTCCCTTATAGTAAGGACCCCCAGAAGGTGCCCCGAATTTCGGAAACCCACCCCAACTATTGCGCACTAGGCCAGCCCTGACTTGGACGGGTCAGTTTAGGGTTTAAGGTTTAGGGTTTAGGGTTTAGGGTTTAGGGTTTAGGGTTTAGGGTTTAGGGTTGGGCAACTATACTTAGGGTACTTATAGAAGTAATTAAGGTTATAAGTTGGGAAACTTTGGTTGTAGCCCTGCTTCGGGTACTTATATACCCTACTTAGAAGTAATCCCTTCCCCCTTTTATTAAATACCCCCCTAATAATAAAAATACTTTCCGGAAAAACCTCCCGAAACCGAGCCCGCCTTTTAAAACCTATTCCGAATTAGGGGGGGGGTTCAGGGCTCCTGAAACCCTGAAGCCAAGGAGGGTTTAGGGTCTACCTGTGTTGCAGTCTTCTGTCTGTCTCAGTGGTCTGAGTGGGTGAAACAGTGAGTGTGCGTGTGTGTGTGCGAGTGAGAGACAGAGTGACTGAGTGAGTGAGTGAGTGTGTGTGTGTGTGTGTGTCTGTCTCCGTAGCTCTGTCTGAGCCTCGCTGTGCTGCGAAAGTTGAGCTCTCCCCTTCTCTCTGTCTCCTGTCTCTCTGTACAGCACAATGAAGTACTTCATTACTTGAGTAACCCTGAAGTCTAATTTGGCGACATTTCGATAAAAATACCCCCTAATAATAAAAATACTTTTCGAATTTTTAAAGGGGGGGGGGGGGACCCCCCGTTTAATATTAGGGGGAAGGGATTACCCAGGAACCTTCAAGTGGGAATCCTTCTAGGGACCCGAATTTGGAGAACTTCCCGCAAGATTCCATTAACTGAGTCTTGGAGTACTATACTTTAATACTTTTTTGGTTCTGGGTTCCTATGATAGCTACTTATACCTAAAAAGTATATACTTTTTTTCCCGGGTCTACTCCAAAGCTAAGTTAACGGGTTTGAGGTTTAGGGTTTGGCGTTTTTGAGGAGGGTAGGTAGGCTTTGAAGGCTTTTGAGGAGACTTTCTCTAGGGTGTAGGGTTGTCCCTCTCTCCCACCAGGATCTTGCACAGGCGTGAAGCATTGGGTTTAGGAATGTTTACTACCATTTGCTGAAGAACCTCCCAAAAATATAAAGTTAGCCCCTAAATTACCCTTATAAGGAAGAATATTTTACCTTTTGTGGGGGTTCCTAAACAGTTCGTAGTTTAGGATCCAGGGTTCATGGCTTATGCGGCTTTAGGTCTGTAAATTTCTTTGGGTGCGGAGGACGCTTCTGGGGCACAAGCGATCCCTAGAACCAACTTTGTCCGATGCTGGCGACAGGCTCGCGCTCCCATTCCGCAGGGTTTAGGGTTTAGGGTTTAGGGTTTAGGGTTTAGGGTTTAGGGTTTAGGGTTTAGGGTTTAGGGTTTACGGTTTACGGTTTAGGGTTTAGGGTTTAGGGTTTAGGGACTATATCCCCCCTTGGAAATTATTTCTTTAATTTTGTTTATATAGAACCCAAGAGGATATTAAAAGCATTGTCTTTATTTTAGGTTCTTAAGGGGAAGTGGAGGAAGGATTCCATTCAAGCCTCCCCTCCTCCCAGCTTGGAAAAGACGCCCTGACTGCGCGTGATCTGACCTTGATCACTTGCAGCTGAAACCCGAAACCCTAAACCCCTAGCCTTAAACCCTAAACCCTTGAACTCTTAAACCCTCAACCCCGATGGTCCTTGCATTTTCTCCTCCTTCGCCCTGCGATGCGCTCTTTCTCAATCCACTTCTGCCTTGTGGTGTAAGTTTGGGGGCCTACATAATCCTTACAAAACCATTCAAAAAACAAGCAAGTATGTAGGGCCCCAAGACCTACCCCAGTTAACCCCCCAAACCCTAAACCCTAAACTAAACCCTAAAACCTAAACCCTAAACCCTAAACCCTAAACCCTAAAGCCCCCTTCCTTTCATGAGGCGCCTGCGTCTCCAAGCCAACATCGTCGTTTGGGGTGCTCTCATCAAGGCGTGCGCCCACCATCCCAGGTGCGACTCGGGGTTTAGGGTTTAGGGTTTAGGGTTTAGGGTTTAGGGTTTAGGGTTTAGGGTTTAGGGTTTGACTGCTTGCGCAAAAGAGGTGTGCCCCTTATCTACACCGAACATTCCTTATGCCGGATCCCCCCCAAAAGGGGTATCTGTCATGGACTGAAGGTGCCGGTCGCGGGGCTCCTAGACCTTCAGTGCAGTAGGCCCCCAACTCCTAAGTAGCCCTAAGCCCTACACCCTCAACCCCAATCCCTCACCCCAAACCCCAATCCCTAAACCCTAAACCCTAAACCTCAATCCCGAAACCCTAAACCCCAAACCCTAAACCCGAATCCCCAAACCCAAGTCCCTAACCCCAAACAGCGTTGAGGTACGACCGAGCTAGCTGCTGGGAGCGAGCTGTTGGCCTGGTCATGCGGATGCTGGGAGCTAAGGATCACAGCCAATGTTTCGGGAGCTCAGGGTTTAGGGTTTAGGGTTTAGGGTGTAGGGTTTAGGGTTTAGGGTCAGAAAATCGCATCAACATGTTCATAGTCACACAACGACAAGTGCTAGTACTGCGTGAGGGTTCCAGGGTTCAGGGGTTCAAGGCTTAGCTAGAGTAACCCAATGCAACCCAGGGAATTGGGGATGCCAATCAAAAAAAAACTTTTTTCCAATCAAGAAAAAACTTTTTTCCAATCAAAAAAAAACTTTTCTCCAATCAAAAAAAAACTTTCCTTTTTCAGATAGGAGGACAAGAGGGAAGGGAGGAGGAAGGGAGGGACGGAAGGGGGAGGGAGGGCAAGAAGGAAGGAAGGAAGGAAGGAAGGAAGGAAGGAAGGAGGGAGGGCAGGAAGGAAGGAAGGAAGGAAGGGAGGAAGGAAGGAAGGAAGGAAGGAAGCAATCTGAGGCCCCTTAACTAACTTAAAGTTGCTAAGTTTCTTGAAGCTCCTAAACTTCATTGAAGTCTCTAGGCGTTTTGAGGCCCCTAAACGTCCTTGAAGTCTCTAATAAGTGTTTTGAGGCCCATAAACTCACGTAAAGCTTCTAAGTTCCCTGATGCCCCTAGTCTCTAAGCGTTTTGAGGCCCCTAAACTCCCTTAAAGTCTCGAAGTGTTTTCACGCCCCTGAACCCTCTTAAAGTTTCTCGGTTTCTTGAGGCCCCTAAACTCCCTTAACGTCTCTGAGCAATCTGAGGCCCTTAAACTCACCTAAAGTTTCTAAGTTTCTCGAGGCCCCTAAACTCCCGTAAAGTTTCCAAGCGTTTTGAGGGGAGGGCCTATTTTTGGTTTTTTTGTCGATTTTCTTGGTTTGTCTTAAGAAAACCACCATTCCCTCTATATTTTTTAAAGGATTTGATGCATTTTCGTGGTTTTTCGTACGAAAAGCCGTAATTCCCTCTGTATTTTCATAGGAAAGCGTTATTTCTTGTAGGTTTTAGAAGGAAAGAAGGAAAGAAAGACAGGAAGAAAGGAAGGAAGGAAGGAAGAAGGACCAAAGGAAGGAAGGCAGAAAGGAAGGAAGGAGGGAAGGAAGGAAAGAAGGAAGGAAGGAAGCCTAAACCCTAAACCCTAAACCCTAAACCCTAAACCCTAAACCTTAACCCTGAACCCTGAACCCTGAACCCTGAACCCTAAACCCTAAACCCTAAACCTTAAACCCTAAACCCTAAATAAACCCTAAACCCTAAACCCTAAACCCTAAACCCAAAACCCTAAACCCTAAACCCTAAACCCTAAACCCTAAACCCTAAACCCTAAACCCTAAACCCTAAACCCTAAACCCTAAACCCTAAACCCTAAACCCTAAACCCTAAACCCTAAACCCTAAACCCGAAAACCTAAACCCTAAACCCTAAACCCTAAACCCTAAACCCTAAACCCTAAACCCTAAACCCTAAACCCTAAACCCTAAACCCTAAACCCTAAACCCTAAACCCTAACCAAGCGTGCTTCAAAGCCCAAGCAACTAGTTGAAAAAAACATTGTGTTTGCAAGTGGGGGGGGGGGGGCTGCGCCCCCCCAAACCCCCCCGCCTCTTTTTTTGAGCCGTGCAGAGCGTGAACCCCCCACGCTTCTTTTAAGCCGCACCAAGCGTGCTTCA